GTTCACCTATGCTGCCATCTTGGTTTCTCCTAAAAAATGTATTTTATTGATGTTTTACAGAGAGGAAGGGAGAGGGATAGAGAGTTAGAAACATCGATGAGAGATAAGTATCTGTCACGACACAATACCAAGTTGCTGGCTTGATCCTCAGTGCGGGGTGAGCAAGAGGCAGTGGTGGGGCAACTCAACGTTTCTCTCCTCTCCTCTCTAAAACCAATAAAAGCACATTTAAAAAAAATTAAGTGCCTATGCTCTTCAACTTATATATATTATAATATTATAATATTATAATATAATATCTTCAACTTATATATAATTATATGTATATATAATATAAATACACATACATATATATGTATATGATCAAGCATACAGTCACATAAACACACACTGTCATATAAGCCAACTTATATATACAATGATAATAACTACAATATTTGGAAAAAAGTTTGAAAGCAACCTAAGTGCCCATCTATTTTATATATATATATATAGTTAATATGCTAAGTTCCTTCCCACTGTTGGATCAGTTGCTATGACAAGCACTGACCACCAGGGGACAGGCGCTCAACGCAGGAGCTACTGCATATGCACACTTACAGAGAAATGGCAGTGTGGACCTGGTCTACAAAGCAACACTTGGCTTCCCTCAAGTGGGACATAGGCTTTGTCACCATCCTGGAGCGACAGCCCACCAAATCGCAGCTGAGACCCCATGGTGCAAAATGTGGCTCAACCCAGCCCAGCATGCAAATGGTGGCTGTAGGTGCACCGGGTAATGATTTCACATTTTATGTTGACCAACTATTGTCACAACGTACCTCTGAAGCTGAAAAAAAGTGACGTAGTTGACAGAATATGTCTGAAGAACAACTATTGGCACAATGTACCTCTGAAGTTTAAAGATGTCGGCATTGTTGACAGGATATGTCAGAACAACAGTCATAGTCAAGAACTAACAATACAGCCTTCATAGTGAAAATGAGGTAAATTTGGTTGCAATTATTGAACAGTTGTGGTGGAATAACTGTTACATGTCAATTTTGCCTATCCTCTAATTTCTCCGACGAAAAACCATCTGATGGAAAATTTATTCGATGTTGTAGCAAAGGCAAAGTTTTACCAAATGATAGGAGTTTTGTAGAATACCCAGCATATTAAAAAAAAATTAATGATAAACGAAGATTCTGATAGTAAAATTTTATAGAAAATACTGGTTTGGTAAATATTTCTTTTTACTTTTGCTTCAGTCATTTATTATCACAAGATTGTGACCAAGCATAATTGAGGCTGAAGTATTAACAAGATCTGCAGAAGGAGAAGCTGTTCTGATTCCAAGAATTGATTTCTCCCCATCTGACACTGGCCTCCCATTTAAATTAATTCGAAGACAGTTTCATGTGATGCCAGCATTTGCATTGACTATTAATAAATCATAAGGTCAGCCGAAACTGGTTTGGCTTAGTGGATAAAGCGTCGGTCTGCGGAATGAAAGGTCCCGGGTTCGATTCCGGTGAAGAAGGGCATGTACTTTGGTTGTGGGAACATCCCGGGTAGGGGGCGTGCAAGAGGCACTTGATCAATGACTCTCTCTCATTGATGTTTCTAACTATCTCCCTTCCTCTCTGTAAAAAATCAATAAAATATATATATAAAAAAATAAAAGTCACTGCACCTTTAATATATATTAAACATATGAGTGTTTATAAAAAAAAATAAGGACAAACTCTAAACAGAGTAGGAATATTCCTACTTGAACCCGTTTTTGGACATGGTCAGTTATAAGTTGCTTTTTCTCAAGTTCGAAGAGAGTGTGACATTAATGCTGTAAATACTTCATCACAAGGGAAATTAGTGAAGCCCTCTAAAAGTATTTTTACATTTGGATATTCTTTTTACTTTTATTCTTCCAGACATCCTTGATAATGGTTTTTCTCCTTTCCTCTTACCCTACTTTCCCTGTTTTTGTGAGGAAATTGAGTTCTTCATAGTAGTGATTTTTCCCCCTTTGTAATGTTATATTACCTATTTATTCTCTGAAAAGTTTTATAATTTTTTCATAATGATATTATATATTTCTTAACTTTATTTTTCAGAACTTTTCATATGTAGTTTTATTGTGAATTGTTTTTACACCCATTATATTTTAAATAATTATTGCTGGTCATAAGAGTGCTCTTGATTTCTAGAATGTTGAATTTTAAAAAGAGTCACTTTATTGAAATGTATTCTTTACTCCTAAAACAGTTTATTCTTTTATCTTGGACTTTTAAGTAGACAAGATGTTACCTGTAAAAAAATTAAAAAATTTATTTTCTTTTCACTGTTTTTACTTTATATATATATATATTATTGATTTTTAACAGAGAGAAAGGGAGAGAGATAGAGAGCTAGAAACGTCGATGAGAAAGAAACATGGACCAGCTGCCTCTTGCACACGCCCCACCGGGGATGTGCCCGCAACCAAAGTACATGCCCTTGACCAGAATCGAACCTGGGACCTTTCATTCTGCAGACAGACATTCTACCACTGAGCCAAACTGGCTTTGGCATATATTTTTCTTATGGCATAGACTAGAATGTTCACAACAAGGGAAAATAGTGCTAATATTACCACTTTAATGGTAATTAAATAGTAACTATTTGATCTTGCCTGTCAATTTCAATTGATAATAAATGAACACCTGAACTTTGAGTTGAGAACAATTCTAATAACATATCTATACTTTGTAGGAAAGATTGTTGTGGTTGATTAGTAGCAGATGATTTGTAGTGGAAGGTGAATCTTATTAGGAAGAAAGTGTTAGGAACCAGTCAAAACCGGTTTGGCTCAGTGGTAGAGCGTCGGTCTGTGGACTGAAAGGTCCCAGGTTCGATCCCAGTCAAGGGCATGTACGTTGGTTGCGGGCACATCCCCAGTAGGGGGTGTGCAAGAGGCAGCTGGTCGATGTTTCTCTCTCATCGACGTTTCTAGCTCTCTCTCTCCCTTCCTCTCTGAAAAAATCAATAAAATATATATTATATATAAAAAAAAAGTGTTAGGAACCAAGTATTGACTATCCTTCTTTAATACTAGAGGCCTGGTGCACGAATTTGTGCATGGGTAATTTGGCCTGGCTGGTGATTGGGGCCAATTGGGTCCATCTTGCACAGTCTAATCAGGGCTGCCCAGCTGGGGAAGAACTGCAGGAGGTTGGTAGGCCAAGGAGGAACCTCAGGGAACTCCAGGAAGTGTCCGGCCCTCTTACCCAGTCCCTGATTAGCTGGATCGCAGCAGCAAGCTAACCTACTGGTTGGAGCGTCTGCCATCTGGTGGTCAGTGTGCATCATAACAACTGGTTGAGCAGTCAACCAAATGGTCGATCATTTGGATAGTTAGCATATTATTCTTTTATTATATAGGATTTCCTTGTTAATTTGAGTACTAATTTGAGAGTAAAATTCTTTAGCATGTTGAATAATTACACTGATTTCTATGTATTTGTGAAACTATCAAGTGGCAAAGCTCTTATATAATACTTGTGAAAACCACACATGGTCAAATGACATGATTATTAAGAAAAGCTGGAAAAAAACCCCCCATGAGTTTGGAGTATATTACTAAATTAAAAATGACCTCCTTGTATTAAAATGTGCAGATACAACTGCTACTGTCATTTAGCATCATTTCTCCTATATTTCTGTAGTATGTTAATAAATGTTATCCTTCAAAAGGGTCCTCTGGTCAAATATGTTGGGGAAGTTTTGTGTGAAACAAAGCAGTACCATGTCAGGTATGTTTGGGAAATGCTGGGTGAAACAAAGTAGTACAGCTTTCTTTAGTTTGACTTTTTAATGTTTAATTAATTAACAACCATTATAAATTACAAAAAAAGATATTTGTATTTATTTCCTACATTTGATGACAGAACTTTTCTCAGAACATCTTGCAGGTTTGCATAACAAATGCTGAGAAACGCAAGTTATAGCATATGGTTAATAAAAAATATTGAGAGATTATGCAATATAACACATCCTCAAATGACTTCATTTCATTCAAGATCAATTTCTTATAACATTCAGACGCCATAAGAACTTAACTTGTTTATACATCAACCCGCCTATGGTAAAATTGGTGTTTTTATTCATCATTTCATTTAACGTCGCGGAACCTATCAATGATGTTAAGTGAAGACTTAATATAAAATAGGCTTGGATGTATGGATATACCAAGATGTTGATTGTTCAGGTTAGTGTTGATTTGGAATTTTGCAAAGTTCTCAAAGAGATGTTAGTATGTTCTTAGCAGTTGTTTATTGAGAGCACGTAGTGGCTACATTTATTACTATAAATATGTATGGTCTTCTATTTTGTAACATAAAAGTGATTTTAAAAAATAAGGTGTTTTGTGTGTGTTTTTTAATAGTTAATGCATGTATTTATTTCTTGAATTTTAGTTTGTGGGTTTTGGCCTGATAACTTCTTTTGTTTATTCTAAACTAGAGTCCCAGTTCATGAAAATTCATACACTGGAGGGGGGTCCCTCAGCCTAGCCTGCTCTCTCTTACAGTCTAGGAGCCCTCAGGGGCAGGATGCAACTTAGTGATCAGGGGAAGGCTATGCCCATCACACCTCTGCTGCTGCCACTGCCAGCAGCACAAGCCTCGGCCGGTCCTGGTTACCTGCACCTCTGGCCTGCCCTGGACAGCTAGGGGCCAGAGGGTACTGGGCATTGCCATCTTGTTTCTGTGGGCGCTGTCATTCTTTGAGGGCGTGGCAGTCAATTAGCATGTTCCCTTCTTATTGACTGTGGGCGCCTCCATCTTTGGGGTAGCGTGAGTGTCAGCATATTCCCTCTTTATTAGGCAGGATTTTATTTTATTCTATTCGATGGTATTTATAGTTTTGTAAATTTGAAGTACTCTGGGTTGAAAATTACTTTTGGGGGAGTTGGGAGGGATACTAAAAAAATGCTAGAAGAATATGATGGTAATGTTATTTTTCTCTTTTTGCTTTTTCAGTTTGAGCAGAAAACTGGTGCAGTTTTTGATGAAATTGTAGAGAACTGTAAGTACCAATTTAGAAAAAAACCCAATTGTTCTTATATAGATAATAACAGATAATATATAAGCCTAGATAAAACATGTTTCTATAACTGATTTATCTAAATCAGTTAGATTTATTTGAGATCTCCTCACAACTTCTTAGTATTTTCAGCAAGTTAATTTGAATTGTCAACCTTAATTTTTAAGGTTGACATATAGCCACATTTTGTGTATGTGTGAAGTATATGAAAGTTTACCTCTTAGTAAAGGTTTCTACTTTGTTTAAGGGTATCTTAATTTTCTCTTTATATTTTTTCCCCATGGTACGTGGTTTTCTTCAAAAAAATCTGTTTCTTATAAAAGTAATACATTCAATTCTACAATATAAAAATGAATATAGTTGAAAACACAAGCCTTTGTTTTTACCATTCTCCAAAGATAACGAGTTTTAAAAGTTTAATATATATCTTTCCCAATATTTTTTCTGTGAATGTATGTGTTTCTATATATGTAGGAGCGGTTTATGTATGTATGCAGGGAATTATATTAATTTTTCTTATTTTTTAACTCAACTGCCTAGTTATCTTTCTATGTCAGGGATGGATTCTTTCTAATAGCTACTCAGTATTTTTTTTGGTATGTCTATACTGTAAACTGTCCTCTCTCATACATGTGAACATTATTTTTAATTGTTCTATATTACAAATAATATGCAGTATGTATCCTTATACACATCTTTGTGTACTTATTGAAGTGCTTGATAAATCATTATAGGAAATTCATGCACTTATTTATGAAGGGTAAATTTTGTCACCTATAATTCCTAAGTCAGGAAATGTGTATTTCTTTTTTTTTTTTTAATAAGTTTATTTCATCCAGTAAGATTTGTGAGGACCATTTTTCTCTTTGAGATTAGGTAATATTGGGTGATAAATTAGGTAATATAAACAGTTTTTATACTACATATTGAGAGGTAACTAGCTCTTCTGATCTTTAGTAGATTTAGTTGTCTTTTTCTTGTATGCAGGCAAGTAAATTAGGCTTCTCCAGAAGAAACTTCGGAAGTGTATTGGAGTACTTCACAGAATTTAGGGAGGGTAGAGAACAAATTTCCTCCAGGGAACTCAATGAGACCATGTGCTGGCTCCATCTGTGCTGCTCAAAAGCAGTTATGTTCCAGTGACTTATTTCTTCCCTATGCTCATTTTAAATTTCAAGTTCCTAGGAAAAAAATTATGATTGTACCAGCATAGATTTGATGTTTATCTTTGACCCAATCATCTATGGTCAGGAAAAGTAAGGATACAAAGTAAACGTTGTTAGGAGATATCCCTCAGTCTCTATTACTCACTTTCATCAAATAATTTTTGATTACCTTCCTCTGGACATGTCTTTGCTCAAGTTTATATACTGGTAGCGATAGAAACTAATCAAATAGGTTTCTAATGAAGGTTTGAATCAGGTGAAGGTTTGAATCTAATGAAGGTTTGAATCTTTGTTTATAAAAGATGTTGAATAACAACTATCTTAAAGTGGTATCAGGAATCTTATTGCATTAACCAAGCTTCTTTACTTGGGCCCCTATTATACCAAGTATTTGGAGTTTATGTTTTTGATGCCTGGTGCTTTTCTGATCCAACCCTACTTTCAGGGTGGAGTTTTAGAAGCAGGGAACTTGATACCAAATGTTGAGTGCAAATGGTATAGTAAAGATTGCCCTATATCTCCTCCTTTCTGGTAGATTATCAATAAGGGGCTGTTAAAGGCTCTGGAGGCAGAGAAGTGTGTAACTTGGAAGGGGAAAGTGGTCTCTCTCCATAAAGGGGATTCAAAAACATAACTACCTATTCATTAGATATAAAGGCAGACTGCTACATAGATGGTGTTTAGGAAGCATCTAATTCCAAAGATGGTCATTCAAGTTGTACCATTTTGTCTTGGGGCGCATATCCAGAAAAAATGTTCACTGTTTCTCAGGCTTCCCCCAAGTGGGACACAGGCCCCGCCACCACCACAGAGCGGCAGGCCACCAAATCGCAGCCCATGCTGCCAAGACTTTGAAACGGGCACTGTGGGTGCCAGGTAATAACGTCATGCAGCAACGCCTGGCTTTCGTTCCTTAGTGACAACTAGCCTCCTTGCAGTTTCTTCAGCCCAGGAACACCACTTGCTTTATAGCCAGGTGCAAACATTTCACACTTTAACCAAATGTTTATGAAGCATTTTCCCGTGCCTCATCTCATTCCTCATAGAAGTTCCGGAGTAGGTAGATAGGAGACTCGGTGGAATCCTATTTTCTTTTCATTAGCTGGAAAAACGAAGATTTAGAAAGCTTATAAACTTGTCCCAACTGAAAAGAAGAAAGAAATAGTGGTCCTTGAAAAAGACTTCAGGTTTTCTCACTGCACAGAATATAGTCAAACACTGCTGCAGTTAAATATTTTACCTTTTGTTCTCCCTATGTGATCTACAATAATAATCTGCTTTGTGTTGATAATTAGTGCTGTGTTGCTAACAGTTACCTGAAAGAGAAGTTGGGATGCTTCTCTGGGCTGGAAAAAGTTTAGCTAAATCAGAAAGTAGGTTTAATTAAGCAAGTTTATTCTATATCTATAAAAGGCTAAGTTGACTTATACATGCGCTATACATATAAAGCTCTCACTGGTGTAAATCACAAGCATGTGTTTCTATTTGTCATTGTGGATCGTGAATTTGGTTGACACTTTTATTATAGAGAAAGAGGGAATAGTGATATTAAAATATTTCTTCTAATTAATTTCCTTATAATGTGTATGAATTCGTGCACTGGGTCACTAGTTAAAAATAATACCATACCTACCATATATTCATTGACCAAGATTACCAGGACATGGGGCTTCAGATATTTGTTTTATAGATCAAATTCAGCCATTCTAGGGCATAGCCCTTCTGAAAAGTTCAGCAAAATATAGTATCTGCTAATTGTTGGTACACATAAACTGATAGAGCTTAACACCATCAATGAGGATTTGGGAAATACTTCTAGTTCATCTCTCAGGATGATCCTCCACATAGGGGCAGGATCTTTGACCACATGAGGGCAGCCATCTTTTTTGTAGGAGTGATGGTTAATCTGCATATTACTCTTTTATTAGACAGGATAGAGGCCTGGTGCATGGGTGGGGGTCAGCTGGTTTGCCCTGAAGGATGTCCTGGGTCAGGGTTTCTTGGGGTGTGGGGCAGCCTGGCCGAGGGGCCTGTGGTGGTTTTCAGGCCAGCCATGACCCCCAGCGACCCAAGTGCAGGACCAAGTATCTGGGATTTATTTCTCTTCTACAATTGAAACTTTATAGCGTGGAGCAGAGCCAAGCTTTCTGCTCACTCTGTGGCAGCAGCTATTCCTGTTGGAATTTATTTATCTTCTATAATTAAAACTTTGTAGCCTGGAGCAAAGTCCTGGTCCTGCCAGGGCTGTAGAAGCTTGGCTTCCTCCATCACCATGGGAAACCCTAGGCTACTGTTCTCTCCAGCTTCGTGGCTGCAGCTATTTCTGTTGGGATTTATGTATCTTCTATAATTGAAACTTTGTAGCCTTAAGTGGAAGCCTGGGCCGGGCAGGTTGTGTGGAAAGCTTGGCTTCCTTCATTGCCAGGGAAACCTAAGCCTCCCTCCAGCTCTCTCTGTGGCTACAGCCATCTTGATTGGATTAATTTACATAGTTGCTCCTGGTTGGCTTGTGGGCGTGGCTTGTGGTCATAGTGGAGTGATGGTTAATTTGCATATTGCTCTTTTATTAGATAGGATTTTTTAATGCCAAGTTGTAGCCTCCTTTTATATTGCAATAAGAGTTGTTAAGGTGAGTCACAGTAATCATGGTAAAGGATAATTCTGAAACAAAATTTAGGTATACATTTTAAAAGATAGACAATCACTTGGTCATTCAGAAAATGTAACTTTTAGAATGCATGATCTAAAGTTTTTTTGATAATATAGTGTAGGGGTTTTGATTTCTCTTGCTTTATTTTTTTTTCTTTGTGTCAACTTTTCTGAAACAAATGTTTTTAACATAAATATTTTAACATCAGGGTTTTCAGTCTTGGTTAAAAATGTTTTCCTTACACCTTGATTATGTGCTATTCTGGAGTTTCTTGGAATATTAGAAAGCTGTTTTTATAAAGTGGTAAATAAACAGAAAATATTAAAACATGTGAGGTATTTTAAAAAATGGCAATAAAAAAATCTTGGATTTACCACCCAGCTTTAAAAAAATGTACATTATCATTATGCCTTTGATGGGAGTTCCTCAGTCTAATTTTGTTTTCCTCTCTAAATAGCAATTATCTTGAACTTCGCTTATTTTTTGCTTTTCTTTATAGTTATTACCACATTGACATTATTAATTAATATATAGGTTAGTTTTGCTTGTTATGAACTACATATATATGTGTGTGTATATATTTATTTTCACTTATTTATTTAATATATATTTTATTGATTTTATACAGAGAGGAAGAGAGAGAGAGATAGAGTTAGAAACATCGATGAGAGAGAATCCATCGATCAGCTGCCTCTTGCACACCCCCCACCGGGGATGTGCCCGCAACCAAGGTACATGCCCTTGATCGGAATCAAACCCGGGACCTTTCAGTCCCCAAGCCGACGCTCTATCCACTGAGCTAAACCGGTTTCGGCTATTTATTTATTTTTAAATATATTTTTATTTCAGAAAGAAAGGGAGCGGGAGCCAGGGCGGGGGAGACAGAGAGAGAGAGAAACATCAATGATGAGAGAGAATCATTGATCAGATCCTCTTGGACGCCCCTCTTGTACGTATTGAAGTGCTATTCAAAAAGGGCGTGGGCCCTGACCAGGAATCCACCCATGATCTCTTGGTTGATAGGTGAAAGCCCAACCACTGAGCCACACTATCTGGGCTTCATATAAAATTTCTATTTTAACTATCTTGAGGAATCTGAGGAACTGCCATATATTTCAGTAGTGGTTGCATCATTTTACATCCGACCAGCAGTGCACAAGGATTCT